CTCTGTCCTGTCTCCGTCCTGTCTCCGTCCTGTCTCCGTCCTGTCTCCTTCCTGTCTCTATCCTGTCTCTGTCCTGTCTCTATCCTGTCTCTGTCCTGTCTCCGTCCTGTCTCCTTCCTGTCTCTATCCTGTCTCTGTCCTGTCTCTATCCTGTCTCTGTCCTGTCTCTATCCTGTCTCTGTCCTGTCTCCGTCCTGTCTCCTTCCTGTCTCTATCCTGTCTCTGTCCTGTCTCTATCCTGTCTCTGTCCTGTCTCTTTCCTGTCTCTTTCCTGTCTCTGTCCTGTCTCTGTCCCGTCCCTCTGCAGGCTGGTTTCGGCAGTGCAGCATCATCTCGTACAGTCGGGATGTTGACATTGGGGTCTTCATCACAGACTTCAGGCCTGAGGTGGTCTCAGCCTTCAGAGACGCTGGTTTCTCACTCAAACACAAGTTTGGAAAGGTCTTTGATCGTCTCCTGAAATCTTCAGGCTTTGTGTAAAAATGGGTTTGGCCTCATTCATCTGTGGTTGTTCTACATGTTTTATTTTGAAGTCCAGGTGGAGGACAGTCTTGAGCTGTCTTTTCTGGACAACGATGTCAAACTGGACATTTTCTTCTTCTACAAAGACGGAGGTGTGGTTTGGAACGGGGGGACGCAGGCCAAGAGTGGCAGGAAGTTCAAGTACTGACATCTTCCTCATGTTGAACTTTGTACTGGAAGTTTGTTGTTAATAAAGTTTTTATTTTCAGGTACATCTTCCCCGTCTTCTCGCTGTGCTGGGCGGAGCTTCTGGAGGTGAGGGTTCGAGTTCCGTGTGAGACGCTGGACTACGTGATGGCTAACTACGGCCCCACATGGAACATCCCAGTGAAGAGCTGGGACTGGAAGACCTCCCCCAGCAATGTGCTGGAAAACGGGGTGTGGCCTGTGCTGGAATGGGCGGAGCTTATCCAAGTTTACTGAGACCAGGAAGAAAAAAATATTTTTCATGTTGATTTAAGCTGTTAAACATGGAGAGAAATAAAGTCTGAAACTGATCCAACGTGTCTTTATTTAGTCAAACGTCTGCAGAGGTTTTATTCATTGTTTACATGTTTACATCGTTTACGTTTGTTTACATCGTTTACGTTTGTTTACATGTTTACATCGTTTACGTTTGTTTACATGTTTACGTTTACATAGTTTACATGTTTACATAGTTTACATGTTTACATAGTTTACGTTTGTTTACATGTTTACGTTTGTTTACATGTTTACTTCGTTTACGTTTGTTTACATGTTTACATCGTTTACATGTTTACATAGTTTACGTTTGTTTACATGTTTACATCATTTACGTTTGTTTACATGTTTACATCGTTTACATGTTTACATAGTTTACGTTTGTTTACATGTTTACGTTTGTTTACATGTTTACGTTTGTTTACATGTTTACATCGTTTACATGTTTACATAGTTTACGTTTGTTTACATGTTTACATCATTTACGTTTGTTTACATGTTTACATCGTTTACATGTTTACGTTTGTTTACATGTTTACATCGTTTACGTTTGTTTACATCTGTTTACATCATTTACGTTTGTTTACATGTTTACATCGTTTACGTTTGTTTACATGTTTACATCATTTACGTTTGTTTACATGTTTACATCGTTTACATGTTTACATCGTTTATGTTTGTTTACATGTTTACATCGTTTACATCGTTTACGTTTGTTTACATCGTTTACGTTTGTTTACATGTTTACATCGTTTACGTTTGTTTACATCTGTTTACATCATTTACGTTTGTTTACATGTTTACATCGTTTACGTTTTTACGTTTGTTTACATCGTTTACGTTTGTTTACATCTGTTTACATCATTTACGTTTGTTTACATGTTTACATCGTTTGTTTGTTTACATGTTTACATCGTTTACGTT